GTTTCACTGTATGCTGAACACATACAGCAGGGGTGGGGAGCAACAGTCCTGCTGGGATAGCTCAGTCAGTAGAGCATGAGGCTCTTAATCTCAGGTTTGAAGGTTCAAGTCCCACGTTGGGCAAAAGATTCCTTCATTGCAGGGGATTGGACTAAATGACCCATGTGGTACCTTCCAACTCAACCATTCTATTATCTCGGACCATTGCCTGTGCTGGCTGGAGTGGATGGCAGGTGAAGTTGCTCACCCACAATGTACAGAGCACTTCCAATGGGACATAGCAGTCAACTCAGAAAACTTCTTAATGACAAATTGCTGCTATGTCTAATGCAGGGGTAGCTAATGTGGAGCCCTTCAGATGTTGCTAGATGCCAGCTCCCTAGTCTCACAGTCATGAGAGCTGTAGTTGAAAGGAGGGCACCACGTTGGCTGTCTCTGGTCTTTGTATAGGGTTAAGTTTACAAATCCCATAATGCATTCCATGGATGGGAGGAAACACCTGCATAAAAACACACAGGGCCTAGAAGGAACATGACCCATTGGTGATGAAAATGAAGAAACTGAAGCACAGCCATAATTGGTTGAAATTCATACTGGCTGATGGGTTTCCTGCAGAAGCTAGTTGTCTGGGCCAAGAAAAAATGGATTTCATCCTCCGAGTTTTGCGCATAGCAAGTGCTTACATGATGGGAGCACTGAGAATTAGTGTGTGATTATCGTACTTGCTGTGAGTTGGATATTATGTGTGGAAAAGTTAACCTCACATAGGATTCTCATAAACTCTAAACCCTTTAACAGAAGGCACAAGGTGGAGACCAGCATTGTTCCCCTCGGCAACTCTGGATTTAACACAGACTGGAAAACTCTGCCCACACGGATTGTGTATACACAATTCATGCCCGTTTCCTTTCCCCGACATATGCATCGAACGAAGCATGCAGCTATGACTCAGTCAAGCACAAATACTTTCTATTGAATTAAGATACAGCTAAAAAGTTGGCTGCCCATTTAGCCAAGACTGAAAAACACAACAATCAAACCAGAACCAAGCCCTGGAGAGAATGCTCTTTGAACCGGCGGTGAGCAAACGCTTGTTTAATAGCGCTAAGCTTCCCAGAATGCCAAAGCATGGAAATAGACAGGTTTGCTGATCCAGCCAGCGATTCGCTTAGGAGGGGCAGAGAATTTAATGAAAATCCATTGCACTGTGACACAGCTTTGCTTCAGAGACATCTTAAATCGCTGTGGTGGTTTTTACATGAAAGGTTCTGGCGAACGCTGTTTGTCTGGTCTGTGCCAAAGGAGATTATGAAAAACTAATTGGATATAAGAAACAAGTAAGAGCTTGCTAGATTTCGCCAGGGGTCCAGCATCCTGTTCTCACAGTGGCGCATCAGCTGCTTGTGGGAAGCCTATAAGCAAGACCTGAGCACAAGAGCACTCGCCCCTCCTGTGGTTTTCATCAACTGGCATTCAGAAGCACTAATGCTTTGTACTGCCTCTATCAGAACAAAGGCCCATCTGTTCCAGCATCCTTTCCCACAGTGGTCTCCCAGGTAGAATGTGGGATTGAAGGAAAGAAACCGCTCTTGTTGTTGCTCTAACAACTGGTATGCAGAAGCATACTGCCTTTGAACCTGGAGGTTCATATATGTTTATAATAATAATAATAATAATAATAATAATAATGGGACACGGGTGGCGCTGTGGGTTAAACCACAGAGCCTAGGACTTGCCGATCAGGTCGGCAGTTCGAATCCCCGCAACGGGGTGAGCTCCCGTTGCTCAGTGCCTGCTCCTGCCAACCTAGCAGTTCGAAAGCATGTCAAAGTGCGAGTAGATAAATAGGTACCGCTCCAGCGGGAAGGTAAATGGCATTTCCGTGTGCTGCTCTGGTTTGCCAGAAGCGGCTTAGTCATGCTGGCCACATGACCCGGAAGCTGTACGCCGGCTCCCTCGGCCAATAAAGCGAGATGGACCTAATGGTCAGGGGTCCCTTTACCTTTAATAATAAATTATTAATAATAATAATAATAATAATAATAATTTATTATTTATACCCCACCCATCTGGCTGGGTTTCCCAACCACTCTGGGCGGCTTCTAACAAAGTATTAAAATACAGTAGTCTGTTAAACATTAAAAGCTTCCCTAAAGAGGGCTGCCTTCTAAATGTCTTCTAAAAGTCTGGTAGTTGTTCTTCTCTTTGACATCTGGTGGGAAGGCGTTCCACAGGGCAGGTGCCACTACCGAGAAGGCCCCCTGCCTGGTTTCCTGTAAGCTCGCTTCCCGCAGGGAGGGAACAGCCAGAAGGCCCCTCGGAGCTGGACCTCAGTGTCCGGGCAGAACGATGGGGGTGGAGACGCTCCTTCAGGTATACTGGTTTGTGTGTATATAGTTTGGATGTTAACTTATACCATCTTTTCTCCCACAGGAATGGTGTAAGCTGTTTATGCTGTTTGAAAGCAAAATATTTTTAAACTAATACATGGATAATGCATAGGGTGGATGTTTGATTGGTTATCAGTGACTATTTGGCGTGTTATTGGTTGCTGCGTCAAGGGCTGGTGTTGATTGGCTGATGCTGCAGCAATTGGGCAGGCGATACACAGCTTCTGCCGGTGAGGGGACAAAAGGTGGATTTTGTGCTGGTGAGCGATTTTCGCCAATCCTCCCTTAAAAAAGCTCAACAGCTCTGTGCCATTTCCCCTCATTTTCTTAAATATGAGTCCCCAAAAATAGTTTAAAATAATTCTGTCGTTCACCGAAGCTGGCTTCAAAGACTGAAATGAGACTGTACTTTGTGAAGGGTTGATTATCATTTTAAAAATATTCATAGCTGGCAGTGGGACACAATACGTTATGAAAGTTGAAACATATAAACTGTATTCATTGCAAGAAGCCACAGTGGGTCTCATTTTGGTGTTTTGAAAGGGGAAGAGAAGCAATTTCTTAAAGAGTGATTTATAGAACATATTCCTAGCTTAGAAGTAATTTGTTACCAAGATACAAAACCAAAGCAAGCCAAATCCATCCTTATTCCAGACAGCTCAATCTTCCTTCATGTTTACTCAGAACTACTTCCTGCTGTGCTCAGTGGGGCTTACCCCCAGTAAATGTGAATAATTCGCAGCTCTAGTTTGGCAGGCAGATCTGGCATCCAGAATCCTGCAGAATACCACCAAACCCCAGTTCACTCTGGAGTTTGACTCTTGGGTCATTAAGACTGAAATACTATACATATTTACTTGGGAGTAACCCCACTGAACACAACGAGACTTAGAATAAATGTACTGTACAGAGGACTGGACTGCATGACACAAATCTGAAATACTACAAGGTAATGCTAATGTTTGCATAAGGGATGAAACTATCCATCATATTCTCAATTGAACTGTAAATCAGCAATGTATTGTATTTTTCCGTTTATAACACCCCCCATGTATAAGACGCCTCCTATTTTGGGGACTCAAATTTAAGAAAATGGGGGGAGATGGCACAGAGCTGTTGAGCTTTTTTTGGGGAGGACTGCCGAAAATCGCTCACCAGCATGTGTCACAAAATCCACTTTTTGTCCCCTCACCGGCAGAAGCTGCCAATCGCCTGCCCAATTGCTGCAGCATCAGCCAATCAACACCAGCCCTTGACGCAGCAACCAATAACACGCCAAATAGCCGCTGACAGCCAATCAAACATCTGCCCTATGCATTATCCATGTATAAGACGACCCCCACTTTTTAGCATACTTTTTAAAGAAAAAAAAACCTGGTCTTATACGCGGAAAAGTATGGTATTTCACTCCTATTATTTTACTATTTTGCTTCTAAGCTCTCAAATTTTCATTTTGGGACCTGATCTTGCACATGAATACTAACATGATTTAAAGATACCAGAAAGGTACATTGTTTGCCTCCGCATTAAGTGATAAGCCAATACAAATGAATAACTATGTCTAGTTAGCTGGAAATCAGGTGGGTTCTTCCAGGTCAATAAACTAGACCTTTGCAATTAAAGAGCAGTTAAGAAAAAATGGTTGGACCAGATCCAGGGGTTCATAGAGCAGTGATATTCAAACACCAAACCTTCAGGATGAGACTCATCTGCTGAATAACCACCTCTGCATATTTGCCTTGGAACCTCTTATGTTGCAAAGGATTCTGGGGCAGTCTATTTTGTCCATGCAAAGCTATGGCCGTGCCTCTTGGTCCTCCCCATTCACCCTATACAAATAGAATATGCTCCCCTGAAACTGCATATTGCAGAGGGCATGTTGTGGAGGACTAACTTTATTTCTGGGAAGCTTGTTTGCCTTCTCATTGGGCCACTGCTGGAAAACTTCCAGGGAACAGTTTGATAACCACTGATTATAGGGTGTGTAACAGACCAACCATTTCAAGATACCAAAGGAACCAGTACACAATTGTAAAATCGTTTGGGTAATCTTTGCTTCCCAATCCCAGGCAGTCATTGCTGTCCAACAGGGTTGACAAAACTGGACGCAGTGCACTGGCTGTGTTACTTGAGTATGAGCAGTTTACTGCAAGCCTGAATTGCAAGGGCTCATGTGGTAAAGCTGTGTACAGTATTTCCTCAGCGGAAACACAGCCATTATTTTGTGACTGTGGCCAAGTCACGCAACGGGTTCGCCAAGCGTGTGGTTCAATTCATGCAGGCAAAAACGCCCAGATTCTTGAAAAAGAAACCCAATTTGTATCAGTCCCTTGGTTGATTTGTGTGTGTGTGTGTGTTCTGAAAATATTTCATCCAATTGCTATGGTGCGCTTACCACACTAAGGATGGACAAGGCAATTAACAAAAGGCTTTACGCCTTTTAGGTTTCACTCATGGGAAACTTCCTAAGTTTCCAATGACTCATCCATATAATATCCTCTTTTCTACATTTCCAGCAACTGCTTCCGGTATTTTCCTTTGCTCCTCGAAAGGAGCCATATGTCCAGAAGTTGTTGCAGCTATCACACTAGTAATTTTGGCAACGGAGCTGGATTAAGACATAGCGAGTTTTATTTCCTTCTATCCTGTGCAAAAGAAAACAACCGTGAGACAATGACTGGTGTGGCATTTGGGTGCATATTCTGTTTGGATTTTCTGTTATCTAGCTTTGTGTTACTAACATTAGAGGGTGTGGAAGGACAGCTGTATCAGGTCAATCTAGCACAATCAGTATCCTGGAGACAAGAGGATGACTGCCATATGTTTTCTCATAAATGTTCAGAGGATGATGCATACGAGAACTCAGGAGGGGAATTATAAAGCTCTTCCCCCCCTTCCAAGTCTCCTTTCTATGCCTAACCAGTCTGAAGGGAAATGGTGCTAAAAGCAAGCTGTGAGCTCCTGTTGGTACTGGATACATGATGGAACCGGGTATGAGACACTTTACATAATGAGCCATCTCGCAGAAGAGAGAAATCACATCCAGCGACACTGGGGCTGTGCCTGACTGCCTATCAGGAAATGCTACTTGACTCAGCAGTAAGCGGGTGCTTCATTGAAGGTAGGATGGAGAACTGGTAGTCCTCCAGAAGTTGTAGGACTACAACTCCCATCACCCCTCCCCCACTGGCCATGCTTGCTGGGGCCAATGAGAATTGTAGGTTGAAATGCCCTGATTGAGAAGTGGCCTTAGAAACAAGCAGCTCGCTGCTGCAATTTAAATTATAGCTGAAAATGCACTGCTATTGCTTATCTTCAGAATATAATCCAAAACTGCTTGATGTGTCCTCTGTTTGAAGCTTGGGAGGTCAGCAAGTGTGTGTGTGGGGGGGTGGAGCTGCAAGAAAATCAAACATTCCCAAGCCTGCTTCAAATGTGACCCACAGACTTCCTAACTCCAGTACAAACAACGGGGTTATACATCCAAGGATTAAATCTGGATCTGCGAGATGTTATAGTTCACAAGGTTTGGTAAAAATAAACAACAAAAGGTCAATTAACCGAAAGATCAGAATGTTGACATTCACAGTCAGTTCTCTCTTGGAAAACTGCCTGCCTCTTTACATTACAAATGGCAACAGCTGTGCCCAGTATGTAATTTTACACTGTTCCCCTTTTGGTTAACGATGCACGTTGCTCTTCCTTTAAAAAATAAACAAATCTCCATTTCATGATCCCAAATTGTGCAACCTACTGGAAAGCAACAATCTTATCCCCCACCCCCTAATAGCAAGGCTAATACAACATAATGATGAACCAAGTCCCCACAGTCATAATGGCTAAAAGCCCTTTGCGTGTTTATTTGTACAATGCCACCTCTCCCCAAAGCCTCCAGAAGCAAATGCCGAGATTAAAAAAAGAGAGAGAGAGAAATCCTGTCGCTGTTTGCTCGGCAACAGGGCAGACGTGGAAACTTCCGTTTCAGCCGTCATTCCTGGTCTCTGAAGAGAGGCTCGGAAACATGCCGCTCCCCTGTGATGCGTTGCTTAACTGGGACTTTGTTTTCATTAAGAACTGCGCCCTCCTGTACATGATCCTCTCCTGCTCTTGCTTCAGCTCGATGTAGGAGCGCGAGAACGTGTGGAAGATGGACGTGACGGGAAAGGCCATGAGCAGGATGCCGCTGAGGATGCTGCTCAGGGCCACCACCTGGCCTGGGATGCTCCTGGGTACCATGTCACCGTATCCCACCGTCGTCATGGTGATCACGGCCCACCAGTAGCTGGCAGGGATGCTGGTGAACTCCTGAGAGTCTGCCATCTCGTTCTCGATCACGTACAAGAGGGGCGCGAAAAGCGCGATGGCCACGCAGAGGAACAGCAGCAAGAGCCCGAACTCGCGGGTGCACCTGCGGGCCGTCAGCCCCAGAGTCTGCAGGCCCAGCGAGTGCCTGGCCAGCCGCATGACGTACAGAATCCTCAAGGCACGCAGGATGCGGAGGACCAGGCCCACCTTGTCCAGGTAGATGTTGCCGGAGGTCGGCTTCTTGTTGCTGCCCAGCGAAGTGCTGTCCAGCAGTAGGGTGATGTAGTAGGGGAGGATGGCAACGATATCGATCAGGGTCAAGGGGTTCCTCAGGAACACAAACTTGCTGGGCGCCTGGATGAGCCTCAAGAGGAACTCCAAGGAAAACCACCCCACGCAGACAGATTCCACTACGAAAATATTGTAGCACATCTGAGAACATTCGCCCTGGAGTGGGAGAGAAGGGGACTGCGTGAGCAACGAAACGGCTGGCAGAAATGTTTTGCTAAGAACACAAAAGTTTGCCCAATGCTTTTAAAAAGCCACCTATGTGAGTGTATCTATGTGCTGCATCTTGACTTTATTATTTATGTACAGTGGTACCTCGGGTCAAGTACTTAATTCGTTCTGGAGGTCTGTTCTTAACCTGAAACTGTTCTTAACCTGAAGCACCACTTTAGCTAATGGGGCTTCCTGCTGCAGCTGTGCTGCCGGAGCACGATTTCTGTTCTCATCCTGAAGCAAAGTTCTTAACCCGAGGTACTATTTCTGGTTAGCGGAGTCTGTAACCTGAAGCGTATGTAACCCGAGGTACCACTGTATTTGTTTTTAATGTTAAAATATTTTAAGGCCACCTTTCTGGGCATTAAGACTTTCAAAACGAAAACCTCTCAACAATACAACAGAGCGCTCCTTGCTGATCGCAACTTATACTAAAAATGGGTTAAAATGCCGTTCTGGCTGTTTTAAAGTGCTTCCAAATCACCTACATCCTACTCTTACCTGGTTTTCTCTTCCAAGGACATAATCAACCCCATGATGCCTGTTTAGCACCAGATGTCCCTGCGCTGTTCACTAGGCTTAAATTTTCGCTTTAGAACATGCAGCCATGCAGGGCAGCAGCTATCAGCTCTTGTCAAATTTTCCACATGATTTGCCAGGACAGGTTATCCAAGTTTCCTCAGAGTTTACATTTAAAAAAAAAAAGTTTATAGATTTATATTATAAACTGCCTTTCTACATAAACCGTGCTAAACTTAGACATGGTCAGCTACACCCTTTTAATAAATCTGGACTCTGGACATTTGCTAAGCCCAGTGTGATCATGCCCTCACTTTCTTCGATGCTTGAGTGATTCTGGGGCGGTGACAGTAACCCTGTGCTTAATATTGCTGTCTGTAATTAAGATGTTCAAAAAGGTGGATTTGGGAAGAATTAAGTTTCTTTTTATTGTATATTTGTTTATTGTTCCCCCCTTCCCCCTTCTTTTTCCTCCCCCACTTTTTGTTTTTGTGTCTCATTTTGCTTTGTGGTTTGTGTTATTATGATGGAAAACTTAATAAAATTTATTTAAAAATAATAATAATTGCTGTCTGCATAGCCAGATGTGACTGGCCCCCTGATCCCCAGGTGCCTGTTCATGTTGCTGTGTTAACCACACTTTGAAGTTGTACAGCTGGCATAGCTCATTTGGCAGAGCATGAGACTCTTAATCTCATGGTTGTGGTTTGATCCCTACATTGGGCAAAAGATTCCTGTTTGGACCAAATGACTCCTGTGGTCCCTTCTAATTCTATAGTTCTATGATCAAGGATAGGAAATCCTCCTTTTTTAATGTTTAGGGCTGCATACTAAGACAGACCAGGGTTGAAAGCAGAAGCAGGTGGAGCTGCCCCTTTCTCTCTGCTGTCCCTTCTCTTTCTCTGCAGGGAGGGTTAACTCTTCACTCCCTAAAGCTGGTGGGAAGCAGAGAACGTCCTGCAACAGACACTTGAAGGATGCCCAGTATAGAAGAGCTCACCACCGAGGCAGTAAAGTCTTTCTCCTCTTCGATATGTTTCTTCACGAGCTACACTGAACACGGGTACAAGCTCTCTCCATATGCACAAGCATTTGTGTGAGAGTACACTTGTTGATTTGCATAGCACAGCTATTTGCATGTACAGGCTGTATGTACGCTTGTTGAATGCAATTATGTGAGCATCCCTAATGTCACAGCCCTTCAGGCAGTACCATCACCACCCCTTCACAGTCTTCTCTTCTCCAGTCTAAACTTACTCAATTCCTTCAACTTTCTTCACAGGACTCGTTTTCCATATCCCTGACCATCATTCCTGCCCTCCTTTGAACTATTTTGTCTATATCCTCCCCCAAAGTACGGTACCCAGAACAGAACACAGGACTCCAGGCGACAGGGTCTTAGAGCGGAATCAGTTGTGGCCCCTTTCAATTCAGTGCTAAAGCGAGAACCAAAGGGCAGATCTTAAAGATACCCTAATGCACATTTCTCCCCCACCCCCTGCCATCCACATCTAGCCCTAGAGGGTCGCTCCCCTAGAGCAGGCATAGGCAAACTTGGCCATCCAGGTGTTTTGAAGACTACATGTTCCCATCATCCCTGACCACTGGTCCTGTTAGCTAGGGATGATGGGAGTTGTAGTCCCAAAACATATGGAGGGCCGAGTTTGCCTATGCCTGCCCTAGAGGGTCCCTACACTGCCCTAGTGTATGCACTGTGGTTTGGTCAGGCATGTACCTCTCTCCCTTCCTACTGGCTCTTGTGGCAATAGTGCAATGTTCCCTCTGGTTTTCGTCAAGGCAGGAAGTGAGGCAGAAGTAGAGGCTGCCCACCCCTACCCTAATGGACGTAGGAACGGGCCCTGGTTGTTTGGTCGTGATCACGGAGCAGCTTTGCAAATGAATCTCCAAGTTTGTTATTCCACCATATTTTTTTTAAAACCAGCTTTGCATGTCCACATATACTTGGTTTCTGCAATGCACTGATGGCCTGCAAAACCATCACATCAACTTTCTTTCCATTTAGATGGCTTTCCCCCCACATGCCTGAAGACAGCTCCCTACGCATCTTAAGATCAACTACGCATTAACTTACTCTCTCCTCTTCCTCTCTTAAGCCAGGCATGGTGCTGATGGAAAGGTTGACGGCAGTGATCGTCACAAACAGCACTGATAAACAGGCAAAGACCTTCCCCGGAATCCCAGACTGAGGCCTCTCCACCATGTCTTGCAACCTTTTCATGCAACGCCCGGCTTTCGTCTCCGCCACAGCTTCGCACTGGTTTTCGCCGTCCGCGAACTCGTCCTCCGCTTCGTTCATTTCTGCAATCTCCTCCATTTTCTGCAGGTACCGTCTCTTGCAGCACCACTCCAGGTTGTCTTCCTCGATGCCCCAGTACAGCAGCTCCTCCTGAAACGAAAGCACGCACATCTCTCTCAGGAGCCGGAGCTTCCCTGCCCGGAGGAAAGTCAAGATGGTCCTAAACGCCCCGGGGTTACGGTCGAAAAAAGAACTCGTTGCAGGTCACGTCGTAATCGTCGCAGATGTTGAGGATGTCGTCAAAGTTGTTGCAGAACTTCAGCTGCCCCAAGCGGGTCATGGGGAACTCATCCAGAGTGGTCCATGGGAGCAAGTACTTGAAGCCACCCACGTTGATGATGATGTGATGCTTCCGGTCTTCCGGGCGAATGCTTCCGTATAGTTCTTCTGAGGGGTGGATGAGTTTGGCCCTTTGGTAAAAGACTCCCTTGAGCGTTTCTGTTTCAGCAAAGAAAGGGTGGTTGAAGGAGGCATCCGAAGCACAGCTCAGGGCGCTGTAGTCATAGTCCGAATTTTCGCCTGGTAAGAGAGTCATCTTGGTCACCAGGTGACTTCACATCCCTTTGCTGCTCCCGCTACAAGATTTCTGCAACGGAAAAATAAGCAGACATTTCAGGGTCCCGGTTTGTGTGACATTCCCCATGCACTGCTTATTGTTTATACAGTGGTACCTCGGGTTAAGAACTTAATTCGTTCTGGAGGTCCGTTCTTAACCTGAAACTGTTCTTAACCTGAAGCACCACTTTAGTTAATGGGGCCTCCCACTGCCGCTGCCGGAGCACGATTTGTGTTCTCATCCTGAAGCAAAGTTCTTAACCCGAGGTACTATTTCTGGGTTAGTGGAGTCTGTAACCTGAAGCATCTGTAACCTGAAGCATCTATAACCCGAGGTACCACTGTACAGTCAATGGAAGGGATGAGAGAGACAACAAAGCAGTGTGTGCACGGAATGAAGTGTGAAGCCTACAAAGAGGCTATTTGCGATGAGGGCATATTGATGGTTTGATGGGGGAAAATAGGAGGTACCGATGAAATGGCAATGGATGCAGGAGGGGATGAAAGCACACCCATCTGGGCCCAATGGTGGTAAGAAAGATGAACCTGCCATTACCAGAGGCAGCCACTGGGAGGCAGCCAAGAAAGATGGCAGGACTGGACCATGCAACCTGTGTGCTGGGAGAATCGCTTACAGTGGGTAGCTGTGGACTACAACTCCCATCATCCCTATTACCCATACTTGCTGGGGATGATGGGAGTTGGAGTCCAACATCATCTCGTTGGCTACCGCAGGGCAAGGTATATTGCAGGTTTGAGTGGGCCTCTTGTGTTTTCAAGATGTTTGGATTGTTTCACCTGTTATAGCACCTACCAGCGGTGTTACAGCATCTTTCTACAAAGGTTTCTGTTCTCTGGAGGTGGAGACTAAACCGCCTTTAATGCCTTGGTCCTTTGCATGAAGGGCTGTGCTGCCATCAATTCAATCCATGAACAAATACAGCACCAAGCACTGCGAGAAGTGAAGTTACAGGGAATCAGGCAGGGGGCCTTCTTGGTGGTGGCGCCCACGCTCTGGAACACCCTCCCATCTGATGTCAAGGAGATAAATAAGCAGCTTTTAGAAGACATCTGAAGGCAGCCCTGTATCGGGAAGTTTTAAAGTGTTTGGGTTTTTTATGTTTTTATTTTATGGGTTGACCCAGAATTGCTGGGTCAACCCAGCCAGATTGGTGGGGTATAAATAATAAAAATTATTATTTGTTTAATTGAGAAAAAGTTTACTGAACAGCTTCCTTAGTCCACAGTGTTGCAGTGCTGCTTCTGTGCGTGTTCACATGAGAACAAACCGGATGCATAGAGAGACCATATTAAGAGCGGCTGAATTGGGAGACGCATATACAATCCTATGTGCGCCTACTTGGGAATAAGCAGCACTGAACACAGATTTCTCTGTAAACATGCATAGGCACATCTCCTAAGCAACTAATCAGACTCAGCAGGATGAAGGATCCCCCCCCCCCCCCGGCTATCAAATTTAGAAAGCTGTGTGATCAGTCCTCTTATCTGCAAGAATCCAAGACAATGCCAGGCTAAAGAGACCAGAGACATTTGCCCTTTCCACAGCCAGAAACAGAAGCAGCAACTTCAGTGTTAACATTCCACTCTTGATCATCTGCACACACCCCTCCAAATTCCCTCTGCAGCATTCGGAGTTCTGCAGTGCATCTCTGATGTAATCACCGAACTTGCAAAAAAGGGATTGTTACTATTCCATGGTGCAAGCAATTTTCGATTCACTCCATGGATGAAAATGGGTTCTGCAGCGAGTCATAAAAGACTGAACAGACGTCTGGAACAGTCTTAGCTACCGTTTTATTATTTCCACCCACCACCCTAGCAAAGCATCTCCTGGTGCAGTGTTAAGCATCAATATAATGAATGGGCTTTGCCAAAAAAAGGCATTGCTACAAGAAACTGAAGCTATCTGCTGTTTAAGCAGTCTGAAGGGCTCACTGAAAGACTTTTCCTTCGGGAAGAAAAATCAATTGATGATACCTGTATGTTGCCTCCAGGTTTCAGAGGAAGCATGCTTCTGAGTAGGGATGGAGGAGGGATTTGATTCAGCTCACATTAAAGGCTGAATTTACCAAATTCACACTTTCTGAAGCAAGGACCAAAACACAGGCATCTTTCAAAATTTTGAGATGCAGTTCTCCAACCAAGTAAATGCGAATATTAGGTGAAAATGTGCTTAGCCATGGAAACAGCGAACAAAAATGCATAATATTAGGAGAAATTGTTTGCAGAAATGTGTAAATTAGACAAAACTGCATACAAATATGTGTTCATCAGGAGAATTTCACCCTAAATTGCTGAAGAATTTCGTAATGATTTTTTTAAAAAAATGAGTAAATCACAAATTTAGGATTGGAAAAATCTCAAACTTGACAGATCTTTCCATCCCTACTTCTAACAGCTGCTGGAAAGGAACAGAAGCACAGCTGTAGCTGAGTAATAGAGTGACTGCTTTTCATGCAGAAAGTCAAAGGTTCAATCCCTGGAATCTCTAGCTAGGGCTGGAAAAGACAATTGTCTAAAATCTTGGGTGGGCTGCTGCGAGTCAGTGTAGACTGTACTGAGGTAGAAGGACCACTTATCTGTCCCAATAGAAGGCAGCTTTCTATGTTTGTATTATGTTGATGCTGGGATGGGTGTGATCCAAGGGGGCTCTTCTAATACAGTGGTACCTCGGGTTACATACGCTTCAGGTTACATACGCTTCAGGTTACACACTCTGCTAACCCAGAAATAGTACCTTCAGGATGAGAACAGAAATTGTGCTCCGGCGGCACGGCAGCAGCAGAAGGCCCCATTAGCTAAAGTGGTGCTTCAGGTTAAGAACAGTTCCAGGTTAAGAACGGACCTCCAGAATGAATTAAGTTCTCAACCCGAGGTACCACTGTATACCACTGCTTTATTTATGTACGCTACACTCAGTTAAGCTCAAAGGAAGTTTAGGGTCCAAGAGATTGTTCTTCAATAGTTGAAACATACCTTAAACCTCACCACAAAGAGCTCATTTCCCATCTCAAGGCAACCTCACAAATTCTGATTTGGCAGATTTAAGACCTGCACACTGACAAGGTCACCTTAAACTTTTGCTGCTCGCTACAAGGCAGACCTGAAAGGCATAACAAAATGAGTCCATCAGCATATCCAAGTTTTTACAATATCTGAAAATAAATATTATGCTTAACTATCTCACTGCAGCTATTAACTGGAGCGGGACAATTCAGTACCTAAAGACCAGGGGAAAATCAACACACATATTCAATAGTGGTCGAAATTTGGGCTTTGCAGAAAGTCTATTATGGACTCTATTAAGGAGCAGAAATACATTTTGCAGAAAAACAGTATTTCTTTCCATAAGGTTGCTCTGCAAATACAGAGAATCCACTCTGCTATTAATTCCAACTACAGAGCTATTGTTGCTGGATGTTGATAGGATGGGAGTGTGACCATTTCCCCTGCAAATTTATTTTTCAGAAAATCTAGCTTAGAATAAAGTACCAGTATGAAATTCATTCACCTTCCCAACTTCAATGCACCACTGCCCAAACTGAGAGAAAGCATCCGACACGAAACAAGAGTGTGATACCGGAGGCAGGAGAACTGATGTCAATAACATGCCATATCAACAATACGCCACGTTTATCACAAAGATTGACACAGATAGCTGTCACTCAATTGATTGCAAGGAAAACAATTGAGGGGAAATAGACCTGGGCTTTCAAAGGTGCACAGAAGTTCAGTTGTTCCAAAGCACTTCTGTCCCCCCAAGCAAAGCAAAGAAGTCTTGTTTGGGGATGTGAAAACAAAAGAGCTATGAGGTTTTGCACATGGAATCCAATGCAGTTACAGTACCAGATGCAGTCAACATTTCCAAAGCACCCAAGTCATACCCGACAGCCTGCACCAAGTGATAGATTGGATTCAACCTGCTGTAGTGGTGGGGCTCCATAACTGCAGTTTGGAGAGGCTTGCCTTGGGGCTGTGGGAGGTGGAAAAGAGGGAAATGAAGGGAGCGATCCAAAATTAAAGCTACAGCCCCATGCATGCTTTGGAAGTGAATCCTACCGAATTATTGGGGAGAGGGAGGCTTTTGGTTCTCAGTAATCATGCCTAAAATCAGACCACATACCGATGGGATAGCGGGGGCGGAAAAGAAGCCGGGGCAAGCGGATCTTCACCAAAAGAGAACCCCGTTCCCAGACACGGTGACTGATGTAAGAGGAATGTGTGGATAATTTTAGGGCGATCAAAATATTTCACCATTATTCCCACACCATCCTACTACCAGCTCCGGTAGTTCTTCAAGTGTCCGTGGGGCCGAAAGTCAAAGCAGACCACGCGCATTAAATCTGGATTAACCCCTCGCTCCGTATTCCAATACGTAAAGGGTGGGGCGCGCAAAAAAAAGGGGGGGCGGACAAGCCGGCACTTTCCCTTAAATCTCCGCGCTGGTGGGCTTGAAAAAAGAGTAATCGCCGTTAAGGGATCTCTAACCCTGCATTAGGCGCTTTGAGCCCGGAATGACCGATCCCGGAATGACCCAAGAGCTTGTAGCGGCGGCGGATCCGGATACCGGATTCCCCAATCCGATCCGCTGCTTTGCTTCCCGGAACTGAAGAAAGTTCCCCCCGAGAAACTTGCCCGGGAAGTTCGGCGAGGAGCTGCGCGCCTAAAAGATCGCCTGTCGGAGGAAAGCGAGGAGAGGGAGGGTATCCGCTCACTTACTTGCAACAGCCGCTTCGCTTCTCCTCCTGGGCGGGCAAAGCAGGTGGAGAAACAGCCCGGGCGTGAGCAGCAGCGCCGCTAACCAGGACAGAGACTCCGGAGCGCAGGCGGCGGGGCTGAGCCCACGGGACGCCCTCGGCTGGCGCCCTTTGGAAGGAGAGCGCACGGGCATGGCAACGGCGGCTCCGGCACCCAAGGCAGCCCGGCCTGGGGTACGGCTCCGCGCAAGAGAGGCGGAGGCCACACCCTGCACACGAGACCGACACGGGCGCGACCCTCCACGCCCGCCCTTTGGCGAGGGCGGTAGCCGGCGACCAAGTGCGCCCTGCGTGCAACGGGCGCCGGGACGCGCTTGCCTGCAACAGGTCTGCACGCCCCGACGCGCATCCCAGTGGACGCGTGCTCTTGCTTGGCAGAGAGCCAGCGCACGTTTCTCGCATCCCGGTCTGTACATGCAACAGGAACGCGCGCGCGCGCACACACACACATACACACTGCAACAAGTGGGCGTGCAACTTGCATCCCCGCGGAACGTGAGCATGGAAGAAGCAAATCCCACCTTTCCAGGCTGGAGCGCAGTTCCCATGAAGGAAGCTCTCTTTCCGCGGGACGCGCATCGAGTGAAGCGTTGCAAAGAAGGAAGACCCGGCGGCAGGGCTTAGACTCCGGCGTGTGCGCAGCTCTCCTTCTGCCGCATGCAATTAAGGGGAAAGTGCGTCCCTCGTTCCGTAGATCGCCTCCATAGCGTTCAGCGGCGATATATTTCCGCAGCTAATTTCCCCTTTAACGACGTGTGCATCTTTTTGTAACCCCCCTCCAGTCCACTAAGCACGTAAAGGCAGGGGGATCCGTGGAATAAACCGGGAAGAGGAAGAGTTTGCAGTGAACCACAGCAGACACACGCGCAAACATACGCACACGTGGTCGTGGAGACACTTTTGCAGCAGCACGCGTGTGCTCTTCGCCGTATATACTAGGAACGAATCCCCTCACTCGCAGACGCCTTTTAGGCTAGATTTTTGTGTGTGCGAGGCTGCCGGCATCTTCCACCCCAGCCGGGCCCTACCATACTCCGGAAAGCAATTTCTGTAGGACAGCGCCCCACACACCTCTCAAATCGCTGCAGCGTGTTAGTGATGCAGTTCAGTTGCGGCTCCCCTCCCTGTGCAGATACGTGGGATTCTGCTGCGTGGAATAGGATCCCCTGGTCCGTCTAGCTAGCCTAGGATCTGGGGAAAGCGGAG